AAAAATAAAATTGTTTTCCGATTTTTTTTTGTTTCAAAAAAATTTTTTGGAAATTTGGAAAAAATATTTCGATTACAATTTTTTTTACCCGTGTAAATTTCATTTGTTAACAATAAATGAAAGATCGAGTCATTTAATTAAATTGTTGGCAATATATTACGTCCTACAATTCATAAATTTGAGGGGAAGAGGAGGGGAGTAGTCCCGTACATCTACACAAGGCCCCGAAATTATGTGATTTGAAGTATATAAATAAAAAATGTGAAACCTAGATCGTGTAAAGTAACTCAAGACGATTTTAAAAATGGTGGTAAATTTCAATTGCCTCAAGTTGGGACTCAAAAGTCCCATATTCAGACCCACAAATCTGAGTCCTATTCATCAAAGACTTGAATCAACTTGAGACATTCAATAATTTACCTTCAAGTCCCAGACATTCAAATCAATTTCCGAGATAAAAAATAATAAACATGCAAGTCCTAAACCCCATCTCCCCAAAGTCTAGGCTAGACTTCCTAATCCTTTCCACAATAACCGGAAAAAAGGACATGAAGAAGATTTGCACCAGTGGTACGATCAGAGGCCCTAAAAAAATTGGAGCTAAAGCTCTTGACTGTAGGCATTCACGATGTTGAGTGGCAGGCGAACGGAACGGTGGATATAGAAGCGAAACGTTCGTCCACGTCTGTCTCGTATCCCCAGCAGCATCAGGCCCAAGATAGGGCCCACTGACTTGTGTCCACAAACGGAGCGGAGCAAGACTTCACCACTTTTATGTACGTAGTCTGAATAACAAATCTGTCCAATTCACATGTCGACATCAAAGAAGATAATATAAACACTACATCGATACATCGTCTACAAAACCTTAATGTTTTATTAATGCGACCTCCCCCTTGGCTTCATTCCTCAGGTATTACCGTTTCACTTTATCCCGGGCGTAACGCCGCAGTGAGCATCCAATTTCCAGTTCATCTTCTCATCCCTGGTATAATGCACCGTCAAACTGACCCTTTTGACTCAATCGACGTCCCAAGGCCCGAAAAATCCGACAGTTTTATTGTTTCCTCAAAACAATTGAGAATAATGATGTCCCATTGCTCCTGAATTCACCAATTATTCCCCTGGAATCATCACTGACATCAGCTCTTCTCATAAATGATGATGAGATTCTCAGTCCATGCAGGAGTCAAGTAGGTGCATCAATGGTGGATAATAGCATGCAGGAATGCAGAGAGAGTAGTGACAATGCAGGGATACGAACCAGTGACAGGAGAGAGAATAGAAAAAACCACTGTGGATTCCTCATTGTCTCTGTTACTCACTCCTTTTATCCATCTTCTCTTTGTCTATCGTCAACAATTGGCGCAACGTCGAAGAGACGAGCTCGCGGAGTGACAGCCAAGCCACATACGTGGGAGGTGGATTGCAAATCGGATGGACTTTATGCAAAGTGAAGATATCGGGGCCTCAGGAGATTGGATCTTCTGATTCTCAGGTTGTGGTGAGAAATTTTCGTTCAATCTGTCATCAGCATGAAAATCTGGGGTTGACTGGTTCCAATCCTGTCATTCACATTTTACAACAAGTGATTTAATTTTATAATTAATTTTATTGGGTTTAATTGGGAGCCAGGTTAATTAGTGAATAGACGTTTAGGTAAGAGGTATTGAATTATATTTTACTACGTCGGATGTTTCCCTTTTTTCAATAAATTTCATTAATTTTAAAGTCACTGGACTGTTTATTACATTTAAATAAATAGATACATTAATAATAATAATAAATTCATTTAAATAAATAGACTCAGGAGTCAATCCCAGCTAGCTCGGGTGATGTTTAGCAATTATTGAAAAATCAATAATAATAATAAATAATGGATGTCCCGGATAAAAAAAAATTGTAATCGGAATGTTTTTTCCAAATTTTCAAAACTTTTCAGAAAATTATTTTTATGAAACAAAAAAAATCGGAATACTAAACAATTTTATTTTTGGGAGAGGTTTTGAAAAATTTTTCAAAAATTTGCATAGATAATTTTTTTTTATAATTTCGATGGCGTATTTTTTGAGAATATTGAAAAATCAAAAAAGTAAAAAAAAGAACAGTATAATTAAAAAAAAAATTATATTCGTAAAAATTTCTAGAAAATGATTAAAAAAAATTTGCGAGCCGAATTTTTGAAAAATTTTTCAAAACATTTCCCAAAAATACAATTCTTTGTTTCCATTTTTTTTTTTAATTTGTAAAAAATATTCCGATTACATTTTTTTTACCCGGGGTAATACGGTTTAAACCGAAATGTTTCCGGCCCCAGGGAATTGGCGTAAGCTAGTCTTCGTGGCATTTGCACGCAACCCGCCCCCAGGAAATTTCTTTAAAATCCTTATCGAATGATCAGAAGGTGAGCAGAAGGTGTTCCAGCACGAACTAATTACATTCTGGATGGAAAAAGTTTATTCTTCCTCGCTTAGATCAGTAAGAAGTTGAAAGGCGAATGTAATTTCAGTGGAGAACACATGGCACCTCGTCAGGTCTTCATGAACGAACGTCAATTGAAGCGAAGATTTTTTTCAAGATTCGGATTGTGATAATAATCGAGCGCAATTTGCTGGTGAATCTCGACTGATTGAAATAGCACGGGAGAAATTAATTTCTTTGAACGAGCGATTTGAATCAATGAAATGGAATTGCTGGTGGGGAATTGAACGGATCATCACGCGTGAGGACAAGTTAAACAGTCGTGTATGCAGAAAATGTGGACATTAGTGGAGACGACACGGGGAATTTACGAGATAGCCACCCCCATTCACCCTTTATCCCTACAAGCTAACTCGGTTGCAGCATCAACAGGTGGTTGTATCCCCCAACTTCTGCATTGTAATTTATAATTCAAGTAATTGATTTATATCTCGTGCTCTTCGCGGGAATTCGGGAGAAGTGGAAGAAAATTCGCGGCTGGAGGGTTATCGGAGATTTATTGTAGTCCAGTTTTTCCCATTGTCTCGGGTCAATTAACCCTTTATTTCCGGAATTTATGGGACATCCTCTGAGTGGATTCTCGGTGCTTCCGGGTAACGGTTCTGATGCTTTCCAGAGCTGTTGGATGAAGCGTCATGGCGTTTCAAAAACCCCTTTCCCAAGTACAATGCGATGCTTGTCGTTCCATCGGTACTTGACCTTGGAATGTTAGCCATGCAGGAGATAAAATGCAAGGACTCGGTGGGGCTATGCAAATGTGGATCTCTGCCATCCCGTTGTTTCGATGTTTCCCTCTGGCTCGACCTTGGCAATTCGATGCAAAAGAGTTGCCATCGTAAATCAATGTACATCTCGGTGACGCTTAACTGACCTCGGAAAGGGTGAGCGTCAGCTACGCAACTGTATTTCTTAAGGATGTAACCCCGAAGGTTGAAAAACTTTTCCTGGCTCATGTAATAATTGATCATTTACCGCACACGACCCGGGTAGAAGAAAAATTGTTATCGGAATTTTTTTTTTTTTAACATTTCTCGAAAACTTTTCGGAAAATTTTTCTTTTGAAACAAAAAATTATCGGGAAACAAAACAATTTCATTTTTGGGAAAGGTTTTGAAAATTTTTTTTCATCATTTTCTAGAAATTTTTGCTATTATAATTTTTTCTTTTAATTATCCTGTTTTTTTCTTACTTTTTTGATTTTTCAATATTTAAAAAAAATCCACACTCTAAATTATGAAAAATAGTTTCCTATTCAAATTAAAAAAAAAATTTTCAAAACCGGTCCCAAAAATAAAATTGTTTTGTTTTCCGATTTTTTTTTGTTTCATAAAAAAAATTTTCTGGAAAGTTTTCACGAAATTTTTTTGGAAATTTGAAAAAAATATTCCGATTACATTTTTTTTTACCCGGGGAGGAATTTATTGAAACGAGACACCGAACGCGCGACTATTTGTCTCCCATCACAGATTATTAATTATTAATTTGTAAGATCATACTTTTAAAAACTTGATCCTGAAATTTTATAGAAACACCCTAGAATAAACATAACACATTCATATGAAATTTTCTGGTTATTAATGCCGATAAGTCAATCAGACTCTGAACTCTTCAGGCATAAAAAATTTCGTGTACAGTACATACGCGCCAATGAATGATTTTAGGCTTCAGCTATCGAGAGTTTCGATTGAATTCGATATAAATACCGATCTCCCTTTTAGATAGGAATATTAAGCGAAGCAAGTTGAACTCAATTCATAAAGTCATTGACTGATCTGTCGAAAAGGGAGAGAAGGAGTTGTTGGTTCCCACACTAGCTGAAATAGCCTCCGATATTTTCCTCGGTTGACACCCGGTGATAATAAGTCGACAGACGTTGAAAAGCCCCGATGAAACCGTCGGCACACACTGAAAACCAAACGATGGAGTGCGAAGTGAGTTTTATGGCAGTGTCAGAGTGACGAGAGCCCTCTTCTCCTCTCATCATCCCTCAGCAAGAGCCCCTTTCCCCTCGGTTTCGCTGCCGACTAGTAGTCGAGGAATTCGAGTTGCTATAAATCTCCCTTGACGGGTGCGCGATGCTGAAGGGAGAAATCCACCCAACCACCCACTCACGGTCTTACCCTATAGCCACGCGAGGAATTGTAATAGTTTTACTCGCAGGGTTAACGCAGTGCAAACCCCTTTGCCATTCGTTGTGGAGTACAGAGGGGAATGGAAAAAGCGGAAGAAGCCACCACTACTACTCTCCCCAGGCGTGTTGTTACGTCTATTCGCTTCACTTCGCCTTTGTTGAGGTCTGTCACTCAAGACTCCTTACCAAAGGAAATAAAAGTCTCCGGGGCTATCGGAAAATGCCGGCGAGTCGAAGGGTGGGGATTTTAAATTGAGGAGCGACCGTCGAGTTGAGCTGAAATTCCCAGTTTTCATTAATTTTCTTTGTTGTACCCGGTGGGGGGGAAATAAATCCCACTGATAGTTTATTGGTATTTAAATATCAAAGTTCATCACTTCATTCCATTTATCATCAGACTGATTACAATGATAATGACTCCGCCACGTTGGAGTATGATTTGGATTATTTGAATCCATTGTTTATTTATGTTTATTATTTTTTTTATGTTTATTTTACATCGATTCGAGTCGGGTGAGACTGTGTGGTGATTGATCAGGATTTTTTAAAGCTGATTAGATCTCACCATTTTACCCGGCCAGGAATCGAACCTGGAACCTATCCGTTGTGAGGCAACGACCTTAACCACTACACCAGCCCACCGGTATATTATTTATGTTTATAATAGTCGGCTGTGAATTGGGAAATTTTTATTTTACCAACGACTGGGGAACGGAAAGAATTTGGAAGACCAAAACGTTCACTGTCGACTCTTGATTTTGGTTGATAAAAATGTATTGTACAGTTGTGCAAAAATTTGGGATTGCAATTCAAACGGACAGCGGAGGCTGCTTCAGGTGAAATGGGTGAGCTCGGTGTCATCTCCAATGATATGTGAGGCTCGTTCCAGTTCCGACCAGTGTCAGTTATATGTACTAGAATACTCATCCCTCGGGATTTTTCTTGGTTGAAAAAGACGTTGAGTGACGTCTCGATGTCGAAAAACCCGACTTGACGTCTTCATAACTATGTAATATCTAAAGGCAAAAGATCCGAATCATCACATAAACTTTAAGGATTGCATATATCATTAAAATTTTCCTATTGTAAAAAGAAAATTAGAGGAATAAATGCCATCGGTTATAAACAGTTCCTCCACTGGAGGAAAAAAACGTCGAATTTTTTACGCTCGGGCCCGAACGAAATAACGAATGTTGATAATTCGTTGAATTATTGTATGAAATTGTGAGGACAGAAAGAGATCGCTCTTATCCATGAAAAGATTGTGCGTTTCTTACCAACTGTTGCTTTCAGTTTCTGAACTGGCTGTAGGTATTGCAGTCCCCTAGATAACCGACAACAACACATGCTGCGTACGGCAATATGATCTCAAGTTATTGCCGATCTAGTGCCAATTAATTTTGCGTATAAGTTTTAATCAATTCCCTTTACAAAAATTACAAAACAGAACAGAACAGATTTGGAAGAGAAATTAATTCACTTAGTATTCACAGAACTCAATCAATTCCGAAGAATTGAATTGATACTCTTTAGGAGTGGAAATTTGTCGTTACAACTGCCTCTGAAGTCATCTAGATCAATAGTCCAGAGCATGGCTCCAGCAAGTCCCATGTTCTGGATAAAACTGGCTTTGCCTTTTGCCGACCTGTGACCATCAAATGATTAATAAGCGTTCTGAAAGAGTAGGAGTGGATAATTAGATAGAATATTTCAAGTACCGGATATCTTCGTAGCCAACCCACTGATTATCTCCATACGCATACGGTGCGTACGTTTGTTCATCAAATACGACAGTCAATTTTCCCGCGTTGATTTGTTCGCAGAGTTCGTAATAGGCAAGAGTGCCAGGTTTTTTTGTGTATAGTCCAGGTTGGCCGACACCAGTAGCATTGGCACCGACTCCATGGCTATTTGGGTCAGACAGGGTCCAGGATTTACCGTACGCCGTCATCCCGACTATCAGCTTCTCCTTGGGGCTGCCTTTATCCAGCCAGTATTTGACCAACGATTCCTGGAAACAACGGACAAATCTCAAAACCGACATCATCACTCAGCGAAAGCTCCAGGAACTTTCCAGCTAGAGGATGATCAGAAGATCTGGAAGTAATGCTTACGACTGAGATTTGACCATTTCCATGAAGACCAGACGGATGACCAGTCCGATTTTCCCAAGCTCCATGGAAATTGTACGTCATGAGATTAATAAAGTCGACGTGTTGACTGATCCCCGGAATGTCATACGCCTTCTTCGCGATCCGTTCTCCTGGATGAAGTGCTACAGTAAGCAGATAGTCTTGATTGAATCGTTCCCTCAGTTCCTTCAAGAGCAGAACGAAGTTCTCGCGATCCGAAGGCACACCGCCTTTGAACGCGGGGTACTCCCAGTCTATATCGAGCCCATCGAGATTGTACTCTTTCAAAACATCCACAGCACTGTCGATGAATTCATTTCGTGATTGCTTGGTGGACACCATCTTGGAGTAATTAGCACCAACACTGTTTGCAGCTCCACCTACAGCGACGAGCAGCTTAGCCTCAGGATTCCGTGAATGCAGAGCAACAAACTCACGGATTCCATTGCTACCGTTTCCCTTGGAGATGACGATCTTATTGTCTTCTATATTTACAAAACTCCAGATGTAATGCGTGCAAATGGATGCATCGATGTCAGCGACTGTGAATTTTCCCTTCCCTGCGCGGTTTTGGGACCAACTCGCGAAGTAGCAGATGACTTTTTCTGCAATTACAGGAATCATTTCCAAAAACTTATGTCTTCCGGAAATAAATAAAAATTACTCACTCTCGGCTGTTATTTCCAGAGCCAGTACTGACAAGGAAAGAGTCACTAGGAAAATTGAGAATTCCATCTCATCTGCCGTTTATTATCCAATACGGAACGTTACATCAGAAATTATTGATATTTAACAAAACTATCAACGAGTGATCGTTCGAATCTCACTTGAAATCTTTTGCTTTCTTCTTAGTCACGCACGCGATGGCAGATGCAAACGGAATAAGACGCTTGAATTTTAAATATCCTCTTTTATTCGGTCATTCTATAATACAGTGTCAGCTCAATAATTTTCCGGGTATTAATTGATAGAGACAAGATAAAAAACCGCATATCGCAGCGACCGTTTGACCGCTTCAGCGGTGATATGTGGTTCGTATCAGTAATCTGAAAAAAAACCCGGAAAATAAAAAAATGACGTTTTTCTCATTTGCATTTTCTGATCATCTCGGAGTCATCAGGTCCGAAGTACCGCATTCAGGGCATTGAGAATGGGATATCTCTCTCCACACGAGCCCCTGAAGTCATCGAAGTCGATAGTCCAAACCATTGCCCCGGCTAGACCCCAGTCTCGGAGGAATCCGGCTTTGCCTTTTGCCGATCTGCGATGATAAAAACGAATGAATTAATTATTTCTGAAGAGGAATGATCATAAAATAAGTTACGCACTGGACATTCTCGTAGCCAACCCATTGATTCCCGTTGTAAGCATACGGAACATACGCCTGTTCATCGAATACGACAGTCCATTGCCCCGCATTGATTTGCTCGCAGAGTTCGTTGTAGGCAAGTGTCCCAGGTGCTTGTGTATACGGTCCAGGTTGACCAACACCTACCGCAGGAGCACCGACTCCATGATTATTTGGATCCGCAAGAGTCCACGACTTACCGTACGTCGGTACTCCAACGACTAGCTTGTCCTTGGGGCAGCCTTTGTCCAGCCAATACTTGACACACGATTCCTACGCAGCATAATCCATCACCAGATGAAATCATTACCGAGGAAGAAGTCTGAGGAGAATTGAAGGAACACTTACGACTGAGATGTCTCCATTAGCGTGAAGACCAGCATGATGTCCAGTTTGAGATTCCCAAGAGCCGTGGAAATCGTAAGTCATGAGGTTGATGAAGTCAAGCTGTTGACTGATCCCTGGGATGTCGTAAGCGGTTTCTGCGGCCCATTGTCCCGCGTTGACAGCGGCAGTGAGTAGATAACCGCCTTCTTGATTGAATCGTTCCCTCAGTTCCTTCAGGAGCAGAACAAAGTTTTCGCGATCAGAGGGCACGCCACCATTGAAAGCCGGATATTCCCAGTCCATATCCAGGCCATCGAGGTTGTACTCCTTCAGAACATCCACAGCGCTGTTGATGAAGTCGTTACGTGACTGCCATGAGGAAACCATGTTCGAGTATTTGGGACCAACGCTATCAGAGCCTCCACCAACAGCTACGAGAACTTTAGCTCCAGAATTCTGGGAGCGCAAAGCTGTAAGCTCGCGGATTCCATTGCTACCGTCACCGTCAGAAACGACAATTCTGTTTCCTTCGATTGTCACGAAACTCCAGATGTAGTGGGTGCAGATATTGGGATCAATATCGGCAGTGGTGAATCGCCCGTTACCCTGCCGATAGTGCGACCAGCTAGCGAAATAGCAGACGATATTCTCTGCACTCAGAAAAAAAATGGAACAATGAGAGTGAGTTCTTCTCAAGGAATTGTTTTAATCCATTTATTACTCAATTTTCTAAATTGTAATGGTCAAGCGACGGTAGGAAGACCACCAAGAGTTGCCGGACGCTTTTTTTAAAAAGATTTTTTGATTTTATACAGTCACAGTTAATCGAGTGAAGCCGATCACGCGAATTCAGAGCTTTCTCTGATCTATTCTGGAAAAATCAATAAGAATTTTTCGAAAAAACCGGCGCCTCACCCCCAAGCTTCGTATTTTCACGTTTCAAACCATTCCACATCATCAAAAAAATGGATAATCACTTACTTGCACTCGTCGCCGTCAAAGCCAGCGCCAAAAAGCAGAGAGCGATCGGTAAAATGGAAGATCTCATCTGTAATTTGAATTGATTCTCAGAAATCACTACCAGTTTTGCGCGTAATTATTATATTTATGTTTAGTAATTATTATATTATATTTAATTATTATTCCTTTAGAACTCAGATATTTTCCGAGCGAAATAATTAAATTTCAAGTGCTACCTTCACGGGGCTTGAAGATAATGTATGAAAAGCTCAAGGAATTCACGTTTATATTCACAACTCAAAGTTTAACGGCTTTTTCCGCGTTGATGGCAACCGCAATCGATAAGATCCACGCGGAACGGAATGAGAAATACTTTAGCCATGAATATAAATTTTCCACCAACCTACTGTTTCATATAATAATTCGATAGTTTCCCAGATAGTCAAACTATTAAATCGCCATAGGAATTCAGATAACTAAGCGGAAAGTCGGACGCGGAAAAAAATATGCGCGAATTATTAATGATTCGTAATGGCAACCATTTTTCATGCGACAAATGAGCTGATGGTTTTCTGAGCTCCGGTTTTCCTACTCTTTCTTTTTATATCTATTTTTTTTTCTTGCATTTTCCCGCCAATTTCTTTGAATAGTGCAAACGCCCCCTTCAACGAAGCGGTAGAAAATAATATATGAAATTGAGCTATATTTTTTGTTTTTTCTTTTGCGTTTCGATAAACTGTCGGAGGTGTGACGAGAACTCTGGAAGGCTTCCTGGGTTTTTATGTAGATTTATGCACGATTACGTGTGACAATATTTCTTGGCGGGAATTTACGAGAAAGTAGTCGAGGCCATCTAACATCAATGCGAGAACTTGTGAGGAGAAATCTTTGGTAGATAGTTATTATTCTGATCTTTATATTCTGCATTATCATCTGCTGATAAACAGTTACTGACTTCGGATAAAAAATCCGTCGATAACTTACCGTCTGCAGGTACAACCATCGCGATTTCTTCAAGTTCCAGGTTTCTCCACAGAAATATTCCAGGAAGATTATAAATCCCTCTCAGCATGGCCCACACCTTCCCCCCGCCGACAGAACATCCGCAGATTCAGAATAAATCTAAAAAATTGCCAGAAAAATATTTCAATCCCAAAATTAACACAACAAAAAGCTCACAAAATATAAAATTAAATTCCCAAAGCCCAAGGATATCTCAAAAATCAATTCTCACCCATAACCGAGACAATTCAATCCCCTAGAAGTATTTGACCCCGAAATATTCAACATTACCCTCAACAATACCATCCAGATGTTCTCAAAGTGCTTCAGGTACCAAAAACTCCGGCAATAACCTGGAAACCGGGTCCTCTCCCTCTCCATCTGAATTTACGACCGGCGGAAGAGCGACCCATCGACAGAATGGCCCTGGGTCTTACCCTGGATTCCCTCCCAGAACACATCTACCCAGTTCTCCTCCAAACGGCAAAATAGACGTCCATGTTGCGTCGATGACCCGTTGAATGGTGTGTTGGTGTGCTGTAACCGTCGACGATGATAATTTATGTTAATGGCTGTTCCGTACGCGAGCGAGTTGTGCCGGAGTGGCGATTCAGTCAGTGAATCGTCTTCGTCGGGCTCAGACGCGTCAGTGGTACGTCAAGTATTACCTGAAATACAAAAAAAAAACAATAAACGCGTGAATGAATAAACGAGTGACATATTCTTATTTCACACGGTGTACCCGTCACCATTATGTTTTTTTTTGTCTCATTCAGTGAAATGGCGACGCCCCAGGCCGGCAAACCCCTCCGCACGCAGAATCAGATGCGCGTAGCAATGAGCGCACAAATTCCCCGCACCAATTTTATCCAGGGAGTGTACTCTACACCTCGTCCCTGTCATCTCCGTTCAACTAGAACCGTCCTACTTTTCATGGAGTACGTTGTTTTTTTTTCTACACACGACACGAGTCCTCTCCGAGCTCTCGAGAGCCTCCCGATCTCCAGGAGTCTCTTAAAGTTTTTTTTTCTCTACCGATTCCGCGGGTGAAATGACTGATAGCGCGAGTGACGCTCTAGATTTGGCGGTAAGTTTCTCAAATATATTTGTTCCCATGATTTTTAACTGCTTGGTGGCCCTGGTCATCTGTCCGGAGATCCGCTGTCTCTCTGAATTTTGAGACCTCCATTTTTTTCGTATAATTATATTTGTGCAATCGACGGTAGCGCCATTCGCGAGTTTTCGAGGGAGTTTCTGATATTTTGGGTGAGGGAAATGGGGGACAGCAGACGCCGATCGATTTGCGGTAACTGGAAATAATTTTTAGTGGTGGTTTATGTGCGAGAGGTAGATTAGATCTCAGATGGAATGGGCTGTTGGACTGCTTGGGCAACAAGTCATAAACTGAGGTAATTTTTACGTGATTCTCCAGCGTTTCGATTTTCCTTCGCCCGTCGGATCGGCGTTACTCAGCTACCGGTTATTTAAAAAATTTTCACACTTGCGCGCATTTTCACGGGAAAATTAACGCGTTATTATCGCACTTTTATCGCGTTTTTATCACTTTTTTATCGTTGGACAATGGAAATCATTACAAGGCTCTATCCTTGAAACAGATAAATTGCAGACGGTAAACGAGACAAATGCTGATACATGGCACCGGGCATGCGTGGATTACAGCTTTCTGTTCCCCAATGTATCTCAATCCCATCCTGGCAGAATTATGTTCCAATAATTCGCAAGCTTAACGAGATATTATCTTTTCTATCCTGAAAATCGAAATATAACGATTGCAGTTTTTTTAGAGGCGGAGTTTTTTTTTGAAGAATCGATATTCAGCATCATGTTCGATATCTTCGGATCACGAGGAAGTCGATATTCTTGTGGCCACCCATGGGCCAAGGGCAAACCGGCTGTGAGCCCCAATCAAGGACTTACTCCGCCCGCATTCCAAGTCTAGTCTTCCAATCGCCGACCTAAAAACATCCTCAAAAATATATCCAATTCTTCTCGATGCCAATCGGGCCAGCACGAATGGCACATCCATAATGACACCTACAATAAATAAAGCGAAAAAAAAAATTATTTTTAACAACCGAACATATAAATATTGCGCCCAAATTTTCATTGCATTTTTTATCCAGAAAAATTTACTTGCAAGTCATTAAATTTCTCATCATCCGGCGCAATACTATTATAATATTAATTAAATCGTTAATTATTTCAGAAAATCGGGGCTTTTTTATTTAATAATTTAGTTTAACAAATTGTCGGATGAAAGAAAAGAGTCACTTGGACAATTTATTGGGGACAGATTATGTAATTTTGGATTTGGTCCAGGGCCTTCTGTTCGGATCAATCGAGAAATCATTATTTACGACTTTATAACATCTGTTTTGGTTTTTTGAATGATGTAATTAGGTAACTGGTATTGACAGGAGTGGTGAATCGGCATGTTAATGATCGAGGTGGCAGGATGACGTGATAAAGCATCAGATAGGTTTAGAATGATCGATGCTGTATCGCCACTGTATACCGTGACTCTTCAACTAAATCATTGAATCTATTAATTTAACTGGGACACCCCAAAAATTCCACAAAATGCTAATTACATTTTTTTTATTTAGGGCAATTTTTCGGGGATTTTAAATTCATTTGAAGACGATTTTTTTATGGGAATCGAAAGAAAAATTGGGGAGTTTTCGAGAAAATTAAAGACATTCATTTATTTTATAGTATGGAATATTCACTCGCGTATTGAATTACTGGGACCCCTAAATGTCTCTAAATTGTCACATTTCCGCGGTGATGTCATGCGTTCGTTTGTGCGAGCAGTTTTTTTTTTTGTTTCGCCTTTTTGGTGTCTGCTACATGCAGATTCCCACAGCGAGAATATTTTTTGCTCGTGATGCATTGGGAAGTTCTACATCAGTCCAATTAAAAATGTGGGAATTTTTTCCGTTAAAAAATCCTGGAATGACGAACGAAAAAGATAACAAAAAATCCAAGAAAAAAATAATCAAAATTTAAAAATTAAAAAACGAAAAAAAAAATGGCAAAAAAAAAAAATAAAAAAATCACCGGAAAATTTTAAAAACTTTTTTTTTTAGAAAAATCCATTGAATTCATGATAAAATTCACGGAAAAATTCTAAAGTGCCAGAAAAATCGTAGAATTCCGTTGGAAAATATTTCCGAATATTCGGTCGCCCCAGGTATGAAGCTCGTCCCCAAGATGGCGAAAATTTATGGCCTCGAATCGACCGGTGGTCTCCCGACGGTATTCTCATCTCAACGACTGAATTTCCCCCAAAAAAAAAATTCCCACCCCTCTGTATTTCAAGATTCCGTGATTTTTATTTGAAAAATACATTCCCTGTCTGAAGAATTTCGATTCCAACATTACGTGGAAGATTGAACTGGTACCACAATAGAATCGGTGATAGAGGAATCTCAACTGAAATTGGCTTTTTCCAATTCGGTGATAGCACGACTGAGAAGAGAGTTGAATATACTATTTCGTATACTGACTTATACATGGGGTGCCTCAAGGAAATCGATTGTTGGGGTCGTACCCTCATTTCTCCTGCTCTCTCCAACGTGCCTTCATTGCAAGTTATCACTTTCGTCAACTCCAGAGCATTCAGTTTTCTCTCCATCGAACAACAATCTCCAAAACTCCTGAACCACACGTTAAAAACATTTTACATAATCATTGATTAATAATTTTTCATTGACACTACCAGTATCTAGTCAATTATGTTTTTAAAAAATAATAAAATTGCTTTCAATTCCAGAAAGTCCGCGGGACCGAGGGACAAACGTTGGACCCAAAAAAAAGAGGACAACTTACACATGAAGCAGATGGCCGTCTATTGGTTTATTCTTCGGGTACTGTGTCCCGCCTGCAGATGAGAGAGAAAATATATTTATCTCTGTTTAAAGGATTCATTCAGGGTATGTACTGCACTAAAAACCGGTCGTCCGTTACAAAAAAAAAAAGTGATACGATTTGCAATAACACGTACTCTGACAAACTGTCATGTCCATTTTTCCAACCGATTTTTCTGATCGGTAATTAATACAAATGTGATTAACCAAGTGGAAACGCTGTTTTACGAGTTTGAATGGGTAATGAATAATATTGAGAATTTGGAGAACCGCGGGGGCATTTATTATCATGAATTTCAGGGCGACAGGCCTGAGTACTCCATATGTAAATTACTGAATGAGTAACGGCACTTGCGTATGAAAGACACATGGATTTAATCGCGGAGAACATGATATTCCACGGTTGTTCATTACCATGCATTCTGGAGCAGACAGTTTTATTCATGAAGCTGCAAAAATTGTTTTTTCATTTTCCCTGGATTTCTCCAGATTTCTCGTTTCCATCCTGAATAATTATTCATCAGCATCCTATTTTTTTCGTTCAATACGCAATCCTGAAATATTAAAACATTTTAAATTCCTCATTTTATATTTTTTGTTCAACAATAATTGCACAAATCGAATTTACACATCCAATTATTTTACTCCAACTCGTGTTCCTATTATCATTACTCGCGATATTGATCTGGGAATTTCACCCATTAATTGGGTTAATTCCGCTAATTTTCTGGGGTAATTAAATGATTTTATCCAGTAATTAGTCCAGTGTTGGTAAATAACGATAACAAATGAATTTATGTTATTGGTTTTTTTTTCAGAGCCGTAACCCAGAAAAATTGGAAGTCTGTGCAACAGTTACGGCGAAAAATGACGCTAATAAGGGGTTAGTATCGAGATGGCGGCGATAGCGTCGGCGTCGGCGTCGGCGTCGGGTCGATATGAGAAATCCACCGAATTATCGTCGTCAACTTTTACCCAGAGGCATCTCTCAATTTCCAGTGTCCCAAGGGCCCAACTCAACGGCCCCCCGAAATATTGGGTAACTATTGTTTGAGGAAAGGAGTAAAGTCGAAAAGTCAAATCTGTTTTGACATTTTGTCGTGGGTTTTCAACGCCTTGCGGCGCATCTAACATGACAGGGGCGGGTCCAAAGGATTAGGACAGTTGGCAGTTTTTCAAATTTACGGACTAATGCGACAAATTTACAGACAAGACAAACGCCCAGAGGTTAACCCAGGGAACATTAACAGGATTACCCGGCCGATAAGGTAGATCCTGGAGGCGGGTACGGAGATGGATTATTTTTTGGTAATCTGGAGATTAGAGAAGCTAATGGTTGCTTTGATGCAGTTGTCTGTCACTTTGTTGTTTGTTTCGTGTCAATATTGATGGGTGGCCTCCATTTTGCGGGGAACAAGTGGAAGTGACATTTTTCATTCCTCAACTCAATGGCTTTATTTTATCCACCATTTTTAAACACATTCTCCAGACAAAGAAGACGGCATTATAATAAAAATTTTTGAGAATTTCGGACAAATTCCCTTTTTTTTTATTCTGGTTTTACTCAGACGCATTTTAGTTATAAAAATCGCTCTTAATTTATTCAATTAGCGGCAGTCGGCTAACAGCTCTTCGTCGTGTTGCTTTCAACCAATTTACACTCATCTGGCTATTTACCATTTTTTTTTAGTGTTGGGTTTTAATTTGGCGGCAGTTTTCTTATTCGAGTCTCGATTTTATCAAGACTTCCGAATGTTTTTCTGTCAATTAAAGAAGTAATGAGAATGGTAATTTTATATCTAGAATTGTATCCAGTTTGTTATTTTAATTTTTATCGGTGGTGCATTCTATTTGATTCGTATCATTTTGAAAAGGTCTTGATAGGTTTCACGTTTTCGATCAATCTGTTGAATACTTTCAGCATGATCTGGCAATTTTTGCCGTTGGGAGGGCCCAAAGCTTCCAGACCCTCGCTGACATTCTGAATTTTCTATGAAATGAATTTATCGAGTTTGACTAGCAGAAAAAATCTTCAAATCCCTCTCCTCATTTCCCAATCCAAAAATACATTTTTTTAATTCTAAAAAAATTTCGCATTCGTCTATTTTATTAATTATTCATTCAGCTATTCATTAAAAATTAAAAACGTATTAATTAAAACTTTCTTTCTCATTTTTCTTAATTCTTGATACAAAAACATTTTTATACGTTTCTTATTAATTGGAGAGGTATGCGGATTTCGGTTTAAGTTTTTAAGATAATTGCAGTTTTTAAATTTTCGTCGGGATTCTTTAATTTTTTTTATGACTTCGGGATATAGTTCAGGGTGTCCCGCGTCGTATCCCATGATTTTCATGATTTTATCTTCATTAAAAGTATTTTTTTTATTTATTTGAAAAAAAATTGAAAAAGGTCCACTTTGTAATTTATATGTACAACTTGAAAATTAATGCGTTTTATGTAGTTTTATTACATAATAAAATACATTGATGGATTCTCATAAATGAGGACTGAGTATCTATTGAATTTGAAGATCGAAACGAGAAATCGATGCTCTACTTTCAGACGTAATGAATAAGAGTTCCAGTAACAATCTCTCGTACTTCGCAGTTCTCGGTATTTGATAGATCCTAAAGTCCACAGCCATCTTTACAACAATCATTATTCCTCATAAAAAAAAATCAATCATTGAAAAAAGCATCTCCAAGAAAAGGGGCCCCTTGTTTATTTAATGATAACCCAATAATTTAATCGCAATAAACACTGCCTTCTGTTCAGACGGATATCTCCTAGGTATTCAAGCCATAATCTCTTCAAGTTCTAACGAGAACTCTCGATATTATTATTAGTACCTTGAACTTTGATATCATTTTCACTCCGCGGTTTTTCCATCAAGCAGAAGGTGCGACTTGTTGAAAATGTTTAAAATTAAATCAGATAACGTCCAGAGGGATCGAATTAGCTCACGGTATAATTTTCATTTCAATTTTTTTAGGTAAACAGCAAACTGCCGAGCTATTCAAACAATCTCCAAGAAGGATGAAGCTGACACGGTGACCAAGTAACCCAAGCACTGGTTGAGCAAAAAATGTGAAGACCTGTACCGCTAAGATGAGAGCACACGACCTTGCTGAAGATCAGCTGCGTCATCCTCGATCCGTTAACGTCTCAGTGGCACGAGCATTCATCATTTCCATGACTATCGGCTGATAAAACAGGTGAAGCCTTTCACATTGGGGTAGTCCCCAACCCAGCGACATGATAATAAGGTATTTACTGTCATAACAATCGATAGACAATTGATGACGATTATCACTGATGAATTTGCATTCCAGGTGGTGAACAGGATGAAGAGGGAACAGGTACTCTCCACAATTCATGGTGAGGAACATATAGTTTTTCTGATGAATGCAATGATCCAGCGAAAATTGATCCAAATAATTTGCATAGACAAGTGACCTTCAGTCCTTTCACTGCAGGATACTGAAAACTTGATTCAGTCCTGAATATTTCACTCGCAATCACTTGTATAAATAAACGAATTAAACTTCGGTGGAATGATAAAATCATAAATTTGAAAAGATCATGAAGTGGAATGCTAAATCATTTGGCAATGATGAGATTTGGGAGAGAATTCCCTCTCGACCTGATTAGCACTGAATTTCATGGTTTATTTTCTCGATGACCTGTCCAGTCTCAGACTTTGTGGTTAGGGGCCTTTTTTCAACCGGTCCCATGACGATGCATAACAACCCAATTTCGTGAAGAGCCAGATACCGACAAAACATGACAGTCTTCGCAGAAGGAAGCCAATTATGTTTGACTAACAGTCCCTAAGTTGCTCCTCGAATTGAATCCAACTAATGATTAATTCAAGTCAACACAGCGTTTGTCCTCTAGTACTTAATGTATATTATTTATTTTTCAGAAGTAGTGGTGCCCCATCAGGAGAACAAAGATCTGTCATTTTTATACTGGGCCTAGAAGGAGGAAATTTTTGAAGAAATGGAAATATGATGGACGATTAAATCGTGATGAAGCACGGGGAAGGCCCAGTTAATGTTCTACATCTACCCTGTAGATCCGAATTTGTTTGAAAAGAGGCGACAAATTCGGTTCTAGAGAGGTTTGTGTGGTGCATACAGAGCTACAATGGTCTTTAAAAAAATATATCATGTGCTCATGAATTATTTTTTAATAATAACAAATTCCAGTCGACTAGATTACAGTCGATAAAATAGAATTCTGTAGGCCAGATAACATGTGATTGTCCTTATCGAAGATGTAATTAATTATTGGAGGCTATCCGATTTTTTTGCGAATGCTAACTCGTCATTTCCATTTATTTACATAAAGATTAATAAAAATTATGAAAATATATCCAGACACCTTCTCCCGTCACAACTGCATTTCATTGAATAGAAATACAAACAATATATTTTAATCCTTGAGAAGATTAATTAATTAATTTTTTTTGTTATTATTATTATGGAAAACAAAATCGTCTGCAGATTTTTTTGAAATCTTTTTCAAAATTTTATGATAAAAACCAAATCGGAGAGGATTTTTTCGTTGGAGGAAACGAATTAATTACAATCAATTAAAAAAATAAATTAAAAATTCCTTTCAAGTAAAAAAAAAATAGATAATAGAAAAAAAAAATCAGTGTAGGGAATAGTTAGTGTAAATAAAAGAGATAAAGTATAAAAATAATCATCACCTTGAGACATGCATTCTATTCAAAAATACCTACGTGTTATTCGTCATAACCTTATTGATCACTCCTCTTGATCTAACAATAAATAAAGCAAAAAAATCTATCGATCATAATAAAAACACCGCTATTATGCAATCAGCATCTCGGACTAATGAAGTGCACATACTCGCGTAATTACAGAATACGACTGTCTACTTTTCTCTGGCCGGTGCAACTGCCAGTAATCGACAGGCGAATGATTGCAAAAGTGACGGGAAAAAGGTCATAACTCATTACGCACGCCTTACCACCGAGTAAATTAGATTTATGAGATGAAAAAATCATTACAGCCGCATATTTATTGCCTTATTAATTTCGTCTAATTTTTAATTATGGTAATAAAGAGGTGTGAATATCTCGCGGCAACACCGACTGTTCATTTCGAAACGGAAATGTGAGTTTTTTTTTTTTACGAAGGGGGCGTAGGGGCGGAGGGAGAGAGCAGCGGGTGGAGAAGGGAGGTAGAGGGAGGGTGAAGTAATCTAACAACGAGAATTCGTTGTTGCGTGCATAACGTCTGAAAAGGGAGCGATATAAAGGGGGAGGATATACCAAGATCCCTTGCGCGACTCTAGTTCTAAATCCACATCCGAGTGTGTGAGAAAACACAGGAAGATTAATGATTTACGTGACAAGGAAAGAGGGTGCTGCCTCTGAACGCCGACGGCGAAGAGGAGGGAGTCCCGCGAGGAGTGGCAGCGAGAATAGCTTGCTTTCGACATCGCTTTTCTCACAAAATGTCTCGTCCTGCTTGACGTCCTTTCACGATTGACCGTTCGTCACAATTTCCTCTTTCATTTTTTTCCCCCATTGTCGAGACCATTCCCTCTGAATTTTTACTTTTCCCCATTTCCTTCGCTTCTCTAGTCGATCTAGTTCTGATAGAACAGCCAGGAGTTGCGCTTGTGAGACCTGAAATGAACGCAGTTGAAAAATTCTACGAGACAATCGAGAAGCGGTTGATAGACTTGGTGGAATGGATCAATACCTGATGTAGAAAGACCTCAAGACTTGACAAGTATCTGGATGATGGAACCAGTGAGTGATGGGCGTCTTGTCAATCATCATGTCGATGCTATCTGGTGCATAAATGGAACCAGCTGCGGGTCAAATTCCAAACGTTTGATGATGAAATCACAGCTTGCGAGAGCAGAAATCATGGGCCAAGTGAACTTGATAGTCTAGGATTGGATTTATCCTGGTGATGATTCTCTGATACGCTTCACGGACTCGGGATCAGGATGAAGAGGCGGATCTTTCCGAGGGGACCCCATATCGCGTGCAAAATGCCAAGACATCGGCATAGATCTGACGGAGACTGACGAACCACTGTAGCAGATGATATTAATGATCCCCTCGGAACCGATGCAATTCTATATATGCAATTCCTTGGTCTCATCCATCTCGACTCTTTTAATCTCCTCAAAGAGAGGTCATTAAATACTTTTTCGTTACACCGGGATTATTTCAATAGAACCTCGACCAACTTGACGCTCTCAAGATGCTGCTGAGGTGTCTGCTAATACAATAGGAAAGGCGTCGATGCACATGTCGCTGGATCGTTCAATGATTCGGGTAATTTACTTGATGAGTTGTCAATAAATTTCTTGACAACAGCGATCTTCGATTTGACTGACGTTCAGTCTAGCTCTAAGATTCGAGAGAGTCTGGATTGGGTGTCGTAATTGCAATTGAAAAACGTCCATGAGTATTTTTCCTTTGGGAAATATTTACTTATGGGTAATATTTACCGGTGTAATGTGATATTCAGAATGACCACCAGATCAATTCTTGAGGGAATAATTCAGCTGAAAGACAATGGCGCGTCGGATAGACACGATTCCACATAGAGCAATTAATAACGGCCCGCCGGCATCTTCAACAAAATGGGGGCCCGAGCCATGAAAATGGTGGGTAAGCTTGTACGAAGATGAGTGCAAGAACGAATGGAAAATAAGTGGAGACGCGAGGGTATAACTTCGCGTTTGCACCGCCGGGGTCCTGACCACCTGCTGGCCCCTTTGATACCGCCGACTGAAATCCCATTTGCCGGATTATTTCGATATTCATTGAGGCTCGATACTTTTTATTTCCGTGCTAATAACTTTGAGATTACGTCAATATCGATGAGATTGGGTTTGCATTTGAAAATAAAAGTCACATGGAAAGAGAAATTGAAAAATGAGAATAAAATGGTGAATTATTTTTTAATTAATGCATGATAAAATAATAATTATCAGTGAAAAGAGTTATTGAACACGAATAGTCCCGCCAAAATGCAAATCTTCTTGACTAATCACCCGGATAATTGATTTTTTTATAATTACTGATGAAAGAGAGTAATGAAAATGGAGATTGCGTGGTACCCATGTCTTTACCGGCATTAATGTGTCTCGCATGCCACTCACGAGTGATTATAATAATTTAACAAATTGCGTCGAGATCAGTGGCTGGTCGATACCGTCAACTTCCCCGGAACACCATGATTTATTTTTTCCCACTCCGTCAATGCCCTAAACCACCAAAGACCGAGGCTAATCAGCCAGATACTTCTCCAACTCCAGATAAGACCTGATGGCATTAGAAAACGCATGATCCAATCAGGCAATTAATCAACTTCAGAATTATAATTACGCATCAGCATCAACACGACAGGTAAATAAAATTTCTTAAAGACACCGAAAATTTATCTCGCAAGCTATCGATTAAAAATCCAAATCCCAAAGAAATTTATCTTCAGCTGATGAAATATCTTCCAAAAAAATTCGCATGCCGCTAAATAATTGTACATAAAAATCAATATAAAATTGTATTTGTTCCTGAAAAAAAATTGGAATGGCGGAGTCGATGATACGATGATACGTGAACGCCATAATGCGAGCGAATTCCTCACCCCGAAAAACAGTTGGAAAATTATTCCCGGGTTTTCCCCCCCCGGAGCCCGAAGGACCACCCCCGGTGAGGGCGAGGGGGTGAAAAAAAAAAGTACCAAGGGATGAAAGTTCGAAGGGGTAGTCACCCCACCTCGTGTTTCAATCTCCCCTTCTCCTTTCACCTCGAAAATATACCCAACCGTTGGCACCGCGGGTTCCCCCTTTGGTTCTATCCACATAGAACGTAACAGGGAACCGTATTCTCTCCTCTCTCCTCTCTCATCTCTCGCCCGTTGCAGCTCTCGCCCACTAGTCAAACCAAAACTCAGGCATGATTAATGATGGCGGACAAGGAGCCTCCGTGCTTCAAACAACAAACTTTTCCCAAGGAACGCCAGAGAATACAGGGAAAAAAATATATAAGAAAGAAGGGACTTCGCTTTCTTCGTATCCACCCTTCAAGCTGGCTAATACCCAGAGCTCCTTCACTCTGACGTCCTTTCATTTCTTCCCTTATACCCGGTGCAAGCATCCTCCGCTTTCTTCCTTTCTTCCTTTATTTCTTTATCTTTCATTTTTACGGCCGCCTTTTTCTAACCTATTTTCGTGCCATTCATTTTTTATAACGAGAATCGAGAACAAAATGGAAGGGACACTCCGTTGGGGCTGCATTATTCATATCTCTGCATCGTCAAGTTATTTTTACGAATGAGGTGTGAGGGGTGGGTATTTGATTGAGGTACTTAGGTTAGGAGTGAAGCGGCGGGAATTCAGACCCTAGGCTAGCGCACCGGCGGTTGCATTTTCCGTATAGAATTAATTTAAAAAAAATAAGATAAATTGGAGTTTCATTTTTTTTTAGTAATCTTTACAGTTTTTTATGAAAACGCCAGGGCAAATTTTCTACTAATTGTTTTCCTTTTAAAAATTCTCCTTCTCGGCAATAAATGTCACACGTTAGATTAGCCGACCGCCGGTCGTTCCCATCAGATAGCCAGTGGAAAGGTCACTGATTAAAATTTGTAAAAATAACAGGGTTAGAAACCGACCCTAGACGTCGTAATAAATCATCTCACCTCCGGGGCGTGTCATATTTTTTGTTCTTTTTTTTTTTATCAAACCGTTTTCCACTTTTTTTAGGTTCTGATAAGTTGAGAATATCCCGTACAGCTCGAGCGCAGGTATAATCCTCGAGAGGCGCGAAATAAGAATACAGGAAGGGATCGGCTGAAATAAGACAGCACATATTCGTCTAGAAAATTCATGAACACGCCAACGGCAAGATGGCGGCGCAAGCCCAGCTGATTCGACGTGGAGGATAATAAATAGCGGTGGTGCCGCCATATATGTAGCCTAACGGTATCTGTATCCCTCTGGCAATCATGTTTAGCGAAAACATGATGAGAAAATACTCGTGTGTGGATGGTTGATAGCATTTCGCTTACGATTCCGGTGATGGAGCAAGAGAAATGCATTAGAGATGATGCCTCCTTGGTCTGAGAACCGGCAGATTGAATTTATGAAGCCGAACCAAGACACCGCCATGACAGCTGGCTGGATATTGCCTCTATGAATACACGCTGGGTGTTTAATTCCGTCTTCGAATGGGTGATGAATGCAATCCCGGGAATTAGAGAAAAAATGTCTAATTGATTAATGAACAACTGTCAAGTAGCCGCGGTGGTTTTTTTTTTTTCTATGGGTGATACCTCTCCCGGAAAATTCTTGAGGTGAACACGGGGAACCGTCGAGGGGGAAAATTCAGTCCACGTGTTTTTGGGGGGGGAATAAAAATAGGCCGAATGCAGCCAACTGTGGGCTCTTCCACTGGGTTAAACACAAATTGCAAACACACGTCCGCATGGACTCGTGAGGAATGACTGGACGCTGATGGTGTTTATGCGTGTGGAAAATTCTTGCTTAGTCATTTCGAGTGAGACACGAGGGTGAGCAAGAGGTACACCGATACCCGGCATCAAAAAATATCAACATTCACCAATGGTAAATATGTTTTGCATCAGCCCTGAGCAGCGTAAAACCTGGATATGATACAGGAAAGCACTAGCTGCTTGACCACACGATCAGGAATCATCAACGGGAATTGGATAACTGTACCCTGAAATTGTCCATCGGAAAATTTACCTGGGCAAATTACTGCTGTGTCATTCGATAAAAGGAGAAATTCACTCACCGCTCGTTCTCGCGGGTGCATTTCAGTCATCCTGATGAGGGTATTCGTCGTACCGGCGATCCTTGCATGTAATGAGAATCAATTGGTCACTGGTTAT